ACATGACGGAGTGAGCTCCCGTCGCTTTGTCCCAGTTCCTCGCCAACCTAGCAGTTTGAAAGCATGTAAATGTGAGTAGATAAATAGGTACCACCTCGGTGGGAAGGTAAACAGCGTTCTGTGTATAGCTGCGTTGGCCACGTGACAACGGAAATTGACAAACACGGGCTCTACGGCTTGGAAACGGGGATGAGCACCGCCCCCTAGAGTCGAACACGACTGTCTAAAATGTCAAGGGGAACCTTTACCTTTACCTTTAAGGGATGAAATTCCATCCTCCTCAACCCAAATGGTCACTCAAGCACTGCCATCTCTATAGTCCTTAGGGATGCCCATAAACTAGTGGTTCATAAACTTTGGTGCTCCATATGTTTTGGACCAAGTTCTGCCTGGCATGGTCAATGGTCAGGGATTCTAGGATCTGTCATTCAAAACATCTGGGTGGTGAAAAGTTGAGAGCCACTGCCCTATATACCTTGCGTGAGGCTAAGGACAAGCAAGTGTCACTCTGCTCAAGTCTATTCCCAAAAGCTGCCCAGGGCAGTTGATACTTGGTGCTGACTGCCATCATCGCAGCTGAAGGCATCAGAGTAGTTTAGGGCAGGCTGTGTGCTGGCAGTTCACTGTCCTGGCCCAGTGTTTACCACCCGTGACAGTTGCTTCATCATACCTAATAGTAGGGCCAGGAAATGGCCCTATCAGCGGCTGCTGAATTGTGCTAAAAATATATTCTCAGGTCTGGGTGCCGGCTTTGACCACATGTATAACAAGGGCAGGAATGAATCTCCTAGCCTGATTCTCCTTCTCTCTCTGTCTGATCAGTTGTCTCTGTCAGTTCATTGTCATTCTATTCCTGCCTCTCTCAGTGTGTCTTCAAGCAACTCACATTGCTTCGTCTGGAAAAACCAGGTCACAAATCGACAGCTATATAGAGCTGAGAAATTATAAATTTCTTATTCTACAAGTCTGAAAACTGCAGTTCACTTCCTGGACGTCAGGAGTAGTGATGGTAGAGGGCCGAAAAAGGTTTGTCTGGCCATGTTTTTGGCTTGCCACTGGAAAAAGAGCCATGGCCCTTGCTGTCAGGATCTGGTTTGAGGCTTCTCCCCTTTGTATCAGAGGAAACCTCGCCTGACTTATATTTGGCACATCAAAGACTTCTCGCAGGAGTGGCCAGTTTTCTTGCAATCCACCCCTCTCTGCTGTGACAGGCAAGCAAGTTGCAATCCTATACCTATTTACGTGGAAATAAGCACTATGAATTCAGACATGCATAAATCAACTCAGTAATGCCTATTATTGGAACAGAGGCTTGGCCGATCTGACAGTCTGTTTTTAAGGGTAGATAATCAGAGGCCTCTGGAAAGCCCACTAACGGGATGTGAGTGCAAAATCATCCTCCCACACCAGTTGCCTGGCAACTAGTTTTCAGAAGTACCTCTGATACTCCATAGTTGTCGTGACTCATAGCCATTGATAGTTTTGAGCATGCCTGAGTGGTCAAGAATTCAGTGAACTTATGCAGCATAAGCTGTGCAGAAGCCTTAGGAAGGCAAGTGAAAGCATTCACACCATGTCACATATACGTGTATACTGTACTTTAAAAGAATGATGTTCGTACAGTCCACCTTCGGAAGGCAAGTGAAAGCATTCACGCCATGTCACATATATGTGTATACTTTAAAAGAATGATGTTCGTACAGTCCTCCCCACCCCCATATTTCAATTGCTGTTTGCCTGACAAAATTGACTGAGCTCTGGCAAGATTAATAACTTCCTCACTCCCAAGCTCTAGACATTTTAAACTTAAAGGTTTGACTGCTTGAGGACTATGACCTTATACCAGGTGGTTCCCGACCTTGAGTAACCAAGGCATTTTTGGCTTGAAACTCCCAGGAACCTTCATCGCTAGCTTTGTTGGACAGGGTTTCTGGGAGTTGCAGTCCAAGAATACTTGAGTTACCCAAGGTTGGGAACCACTGCTTTACACAAAGCACATTGTACCTCACTGAATAAGGGCTCCTCACAGGCCTGATCTAAGATATTTTGCTGCTTCCTTTCCACTGTAGTGAATTTGGTTACAGACTAGAACTCACAAGACCTGGGTTTGAATCCTTGCTTGGCCATGGGAACACATGGGAAGCGTGTGAAACTGGTAAACCACTTCTTAAATCAGCTTATTTGGGCACCTGTAAAAGAAATCACATCAATGATTCTATCCATGGTATTAAAAAAAAATAATTGCATCTATATAAATAACAATGTTCTGCTCTTTCTTGACATAAGTGTCCCGACAAAATGGCCTCATCCTGCCTAATATGAGTGTGAACCATGGTTTCTCATCTTCAACTCCTTTTGATTGAAAAAATATATATTTTTCCAAGTAGGGAGCCAAGTTTGTCTATGATGGTGGAGACAGTAGAGATATAACGCAATAGAAGTGCAAGAAATTTGGTATGTTGATGGTCAGTGAGTGGCTGTTAATGGTTGCTGGCAATCTTTGGGGATGGCAGACAGAGATCTAAGTAGACCAGCTATATCTCTGTCATCCAAAAAATGTCCAATGACTGAAAAATGGGTTGGAATGCACAAGAGCCTATGCTACTGCTGAACAAAACTTGTCAGTTCTAAAAGTGCTACAGGACTCAACAACAACAATCATCATCATCATCATCTGAGAACTGCAGAGTTGGAAGAGACCCTATAGATCAGTGGTGTCGAACTGTGGCCCTCCAGATGTTCTTGGCCTTCAACTCCCAGAAATCCTGGCCAGCAGAGGTGGTAGGAGTCACAGAGGTGGAATCAAACTAGACCACTGAACTATCCAGCAGTTCTGCTGTTGTATTCTCGAAGGCTATCGCGGCCAGGATCTGATGGTTGTTGAGGTCCTCTGAAGATGCCGGCCACAGAGACTGGCGAAACGTCAGGAAGAACAACCTTCAGAACACGGCCAAGAAGCCCGAAAAACCCACAACAACCATCAGTTCTACCGTTGCTTATCCTTTCATTTGATCTGTTTGTTAAGGTATGGGGAGAGACTCATGGTTATTCAAACCTTCATTGTGAAATATCCCCATTCACTAATAGTTTGCAATTCCTGCCACCCAAATAGTTACGTATGTAGTTGTGCCCATCTAGGTCTTCCTTTAGTGAGGGAAAGTGAGAAGCCCCAAAATAGGAGCGAGTGAGGTTGTTTAGAAGATGTATTCTTACGATGAAAGCAGAACAACTACAAAACTGTCTTGCCATTACATCAACTAATATGCCCTCTTTAGGCTAAATTTTTAAAACTGTATAAGATCAGGCTATTTAATAACCTAAAGCGCCAAAGCAGGACTGCACCTGAACATGAAGAAAACAAAAATCATGACTACAGAAGAACTTCAGGACTTTTAATGTTGAGAATGAAGAAATTTAAATAGTTAAGATATTTCTGTACCTTATTTCAGTCATAATTCCTAATGGGGACTGCAGCCAAGATATCAAAAGACGACTGAGACTAGGAAGGGCAGCAACGAAGGAACTAGAAACGGTCAAGTGCAATGATTTGTCATTGGGACCAAGACCATTTACACTCTTGTATTTCTAATCATCATGTATGGGGTGAAAGCTGAACATTAAAGAGAACTGACAGAAGGAGAAAAAAAAGATTCCTTTGAAATGTGCTGCTGGAGGAAAGCCTTGTAGATACCCTGGACTGCCAGAAAAATGAACAAGTGGATCCTTGATCAAATCAAGCATGAATTATCTCTTAAGGCAAAAATGTTGACACTGAGGCTGTCCTACTTTGGGTACATAACGAGAAGGCAGGATTCTCTGGAAAGGACAATTAAGGCTGGGAAAGGTGGACAGAAATAGGAAGAGAGGCAGACCAAAGACCAGATGGATTGACATCCCAAAGGAAGCCACAGGCTTGAGTTTATAGGAGCCCAGCAGGGCTGTTGAGGAAGATCATTTTGGAGATAGATCATTCAATAGGGTTGAGTAGTGATTTGACAGCACACAACACCACCAAGATCAGGCCATAGCAGGCTCACTGCCTTATATAGAATCTGTACAAGACAGTGAGCATGACCTGGCTTGATCTTATATTGCAACACCAAATTTGTTGCATTGATTAGATCAGTGTTTACCAATCTTGGGTACCCAGATGATATTGGACTACAACTCCCAGAAATCCTGGCCAGCACAGCTAGTGATGAAGACTTCTGGGAGTTTTAGTCCAAGACCCAAAGCTGGGAAACCTTTGGATCAGAGAGTCAGCCATGTTGGCTGTGTTCCAGAATTTTGGATTCTGCTAACAAATACAAAATCTAGGAAGGAATGTAGGGCTCCACGCCGCCAAACTAAAACCAGCATGCTATTGGGGATAACTTCAAAATGGAATCCCGTTGTTCCTAAACAGGGAGAGAAACTAAGTGAAGGAGGAATGCCATTGAGTAGGAATAAAAAAATATAAATAAATCTGATTTTGTTTTAGCGGTGCCGCGTTTTATTTCTTTTGAGCGTCCAATGCACTTCACAGAGAGAAGTATCTGCAGTTCTTCTCTCTGTAGGTGAAGAAGGAGTCGATTAGAGATGACTTTTGGGGCGGGAGGATGAGGACAGAAGGTGGATTTCGAGGGAGCTGGCGCCGATCTGTCCGTAGTGGCAAAGGTGGAGCTCGCGGCTCCTTTAAGAGAGGCGCGTCGTCGCTCTCTACCTTTCTCTTTTGTACTACCTGCTTTTTTGAAATGCGCTCTTGGCGTCCTCTGATTGGCTGACGGGACAGGAGGAGGAAAAAAAACAACCACGCACCCACCACCGCTTCTCCGCGGTAACCTGACGCGAGGCGGAAAGCGACGTTCAACCTGAACAGCCGAGGCGAGGGCGGGGAGAAGCACCACCCCGCACCATCCTATTGGCCAATCAGGGAGAAGGGGCGGAGCCTACGCGCTAAGCTCCCTGCCTCCTTTCCCCCCCTCCCTTCTGTAAAAACGGTGCCGTGCTTGCTTGCAAGCCGGAGCTGCAACAATTGCGGCATTTGCGTATATTGGCTTTCTGTCTGGTTTTTTTTTTTCCAACCTTGCTCTTTATTTCTCGTCGTCTTTCTTCAATTCCAGGGTTTCCTCTTAGACAGACTCTCTCTTCTTTCTCTTTCCTCCCCGTCTGGGTTGAAGGAAGCTGTGCCTTGTGCGAAGCTCTCCCTCCTTGCGTTTTGCTCTCAGTTCTTGTCCTGATGATTGTTCCCTTCAAGAAATGCTCTTTTCTCTCCGCCTCACCTCTTGCTGTGCAATTTAAATGCAGTTTACAGAAGGCTCTGACATCATCCGGAAAACTGCCTCGGAACTAAAAGGGGAAAAATAAAAGGAAGAGGAAGAAAAAAAAAGGAATATTTTTTTAAAATTGCATTTTTTAAAAATTTTCCAATCATCTGCCCACCCCCGACTCTGGTGTGGACGTAGCGGGTTGGATCGTTGAAGCAGTTGCCGCGGACTGTTCCTCAGTATTATTTTTTTTACAGCTCTAATTTCTTGGAAATCGATCAACCGGGGATGCTGGAACAAGTGAAAAGAATAAAACCTACGCAGGTTAATCTGTGAATTTACAACTTCTCTCTCGCCGTGGTTTTATGAACCGCGGGTAAGTTGACTTCCTTCATTCACTTTTGAGAGGCTGCGTGGAAGGAATTAGTAAGTTTTGGAAGTGGTTCCTTGAAAATTGGGGTTTCCCTCACTATCTCCGTGATACTGCTGGCTTTTAATTTTTTAGGGATGGGACTAAAAAGGGCAGAGAATAATACCTTTCTCAAAAATGAGTGGATTTACTGTTTGTTCTGTGAGCTCTGAAGAGATATAGTGGGTTTTGGATTTTTTTTATTATTCCTTTAAAAAAAAAAGGCTTTTCAAAATGTGGCAATAATTTTGACACCTGTTTTTAATAGAAAGAACATATACATCTAAAAGGACAGTTTGGTTTCCCCCCCCCTCCCACCCGATTCTGGAATAACTTCTTATAGACATGGCAAAAAATTCTGTGGAGGGGTCAAAGGAAGACTTGACCAAAATGACAGAAGAGGACTTGTTGCGCTGGAGCAAAGAAGAGCTGGTGAAGAGGCTGAAGAAAGTGGAGAACGAGAAGATGAACTTGATGGTGGAGCACAGCAACTTGATGAAGGATGTGAACCGCAGGCTCCAGGTTCACCTACATGAGATCAGGGGCTTGAAGGAAGTTAATCAGAAGCTGCAAGATGATAACCATGAACTTAGGGAGCTCTGCTGTTTCTTGGACGATGACCGGCAGAAAGGGAAAAAGCTGTCTAGAGAATGGCAGAGGTTCGGGAGACACACGGCCGGCGTGATGTGGAAGGACGTGGGGATGTACCAGCAGAAGCTGAAAGAGTTGGAGGCCAAGCAGGAGTGCCTCATGCGGGAGAACGTGGAGCTCAAGGAGATAGTCCTCATGTTGGATGAAGAGAGGAATGGAGCAGGCTCCCGAAGCTCTATAGACAGCCAGGCCAGCCTCACCAACTTAAATGGGGGTTCTGGCACTAGGGATGTTGGGGATGGAAGTAGTACCTCCAGCACTGGCAGCGCAGGAAGTCCGGATCATCACCATCATCCCCTTCACCATCACAAACCAGTTGAGAATAAGGCTGGGGCTATCCGGCGATCAATGGATGACCTCTCGGCACCACTTCACCACAGGAGCATTCCCAACGGTCTCAATGGTAAGTCCTTGGCTTTCCAACCCACTGTCTCATTTCTGTGCTAGAAACGCAAGACTTCCAAAGGCCTAGGGCTGCCTTATTTTTGCACTAGAAGGAGACTGACTTCCAAACTTCTCCTTCTAAGGTGCTTTACCAGAGTTACATTGGCTTCATGCAAGGCCTGTTAATCTTGTAACCTGAAATTTGCCTGCCTCTCCACCCAGCTAACATTCACTTACTAGAATTCTTACACAAAGCTTAGAAAAGTTATGTATATGTGGTACAACTTTCAGAATCTCATGACTGTTATGACATTTTGGGACCTGTGTCTCAAAAAAGTAACTTTCCCAAAGCTCCATATATACTGTGGCTGAATATGAATTAAATTACCCCATAATACTCTTTAGCAACCCTTGCCCTTCTAACAATCTATGCTGTTTTAACAGTGGATCATCCACCAACACCTTTTAATGCATGTTTACAGTGAGTCTATAGCTACTTTTCCGGGGAACGGTAACAGCTGGCTCTTAGCAGCTTTGTTTAATCAACACAGTGCACAAGGATGTGATCTCTGTCATTCACTCGTGTCTCTCATGGTGCATTTTACCCATGGCTCAATGAGAGCAGCTGTCTGACTTGTAGCAGTGTTACCCTAACACTTCAAAATTCCTGCTTTTTAGATTTTTGTATGACAGGTTACATGAGATGTGCGACTTCTGTGTTACATTGGGCAAGTCATGGTTGGACTTTCCATTTTTTATGCATCACCATCCATCCAGGAAAAGAGACAGTTCCTTCTGATCATGGAAGTCTTGCCAAGTTTAATTCATTAGCATGTGTAAAAGGATTTTGATGTCATGGAGATGCATACAGGTTTTGGATGAGCGCAGGCCCCGCAGTGAAAGCTGACCTCTTCTGGCCCAAATTGTGGTGTTGTGAATTATATACATTTTAAAGGGTTCCCTGACTGTTTGATTGCAGAACAGCATTGTTGATGTTTACACATTGCTATGGGGATTTTATGTTTTTTTTCTTCTCCTACGGACATCCCAACATAAAGCCTGATGAATTAATTTTATTAAATTGATTGATGTTTTTACATTATGTTTTCACACCTTTGTCATTCAGCCTTGAATGATTACTTTTCTCTTTAGTTGCCTGCTAGAGGAAAAGCATAGAAAGCCTATTGAGAAGAGCAGTTTAAGGGCTTATTTGTAAAAGTCTTATGTGTTTAGCTCTGTAGTTCTTCTCTAGCTCAACAGTCTCTAAATGAATAGTATGAGTTTCAGAATACTATGGTATAGAATGATATATATATCTTACTCTTTGTGGGTGTGTTTGTTTGTGTTCTAATCTGTACTTTTGTAGGGAACAAACTGCGTACTAATCAGCTATTCTGAGTTGATTATTAAACCCTGGTTTGAGATTGATCTATCTTGTAATAAATTTACTACTTTTATATATGTTTACACATCTTGAGCTCATCCTGTACTTAGGGCTTAGTGAGCAACAAGCCTTAGTTAGCAGATGACAGCATGATAATTTTATGCGGATGTGTGTATGACTTAATACAGACAGCCCATTATAATTCTTCTCCCTTGCTTTCCGAATCTAGTTCAAATAAAACTCAGGATATTGTTGCTGGAAAGTGTCCAAACCTTTGTATTTGCATGGAACAAAAGTTGTGTGAAGCAGCGATGAGCCTGTTTTAAGTATCCCTGCCTTCTGGATTTTTGCACACTGATTAACTGAAGTGGGTTATTTCTTGAATATTGGAGGATGAGACTTTGGTTTAATTTGAGGCCCTTACTTGGGCAAAGTGTTGTGTTGGGATGTCTAGAAAAGTAAGCACTACAGTGTGTTTAGTTTATCACAAATTATCTTTTCCCTGTTTTTGCTTGAAAATTAGTCTCTCTTGTCTTCATTTGAGCCATTGGTGGCTCTTGACCATAACAAGGGTATTTCCCTAGTCCTCCAATTTGAGAGTGAGGTATTCCTTAGTTTTGTCAATGAGCTTCTCCAATATTTGAATGTAATGTTGAAGCCACAATTAGCTTTGGGCTGTGAGAATGAGTTTGGAAGCTTCCTTTAGATAACTCATGATAATAGCTGCAAGAACTCTAAAATTCTTCTTTAGGCTGAGTGGTAGGAAAAAAATAGTCAAAGCAAAGGAGGCTAGGCTAGAAGCAAGGAGATCCAGAAATTTGTCCAGGCATTGTGTCGCTGAGGTCTGCTGTTAAACTGAGTCCCAGGATGGGTATTTACAGCTGAATGGGTTGCTGGTAGGGTGATCCTATTTGTTCCTGAAATGACAAGGGGGTGTCTCTTGCCTTAGATGAAAGAGGTTCCTGAAGAGCCATGAAGATAAGGTTTTATTTTCAAACCATAGTTTAGAAGCTGTCTTGTTTTCTTTAAGCATAATTAATCTTAACTGTGATTAAGCTTAAGTATGGTTGTTGTAGGTTTTTCGGACTCTTTGGCCATGTTCTGAAGGTTGTTCTTCCTAATGTTTTGCCAGTGTCTGTGGCCGGCATTTTCAGAGGACAGCACTCTGTCCTCTGAAGATGCTGGCCACAGAAACTGGTAAAACGTCAGGAAGAACAACCTTCAGAACACGGCCAAAGAGCCCGAAAAACCTGGAACCACCGATCAGCTGTTGGGAAAACATTGTTATGCGAAAATCCAAACCATTCCACAATAGCTGATCAGTATTCTGGCTACAGCAGTGACATGCTGCCCTTGTTGGCTATATTATGCCTTGGAAATGTGGAACTTTATGCACAATTTATTTAGTTATATCCTTATATAAGATTATTCTCTGTACCCTTATGACTTTCTGTGTAATGCAATAATTGGTTTTCTTTAAATAAAAGCATAATCCCTAAAGGTGTAATAGTAAGATGTACAGTAGTTGCAGTAATCAAAGTAAGAAATGTGATATATGAATGGGAGTTTTAGCTGATGGGGCTGGAGGAAAAGGGACGGATTTCCACAATGCTGTAAGGAAGGACAGCAGATACTATGCATTATTAAAGGAAATTAACTTTCTTGCAGTTGGTCTCTTACATGGAGTACTATAGTTTCTAAAGCACTCTCCAATTTCCCATGTTACTTATGACAGTTAATAAACACTGTGAGGCTTGGCTGTCTGCACGCCGCCAATAAGATTTAATACTACTCATACAGTTGGCAACTTGATATTATAATTCTTACTTAATACAGTCATGTATTTTATGAGTTACAATAAAGTGATCTTCTGCTAAACTGTCAGACTGCTTCTTGAAGGAATTGTGGAAAGAATCTCGAACAAAGTGCTACAATTTCCAGTATTGCTTAGGGGAATAATTACAATTAAAAATGAATGGATTTGGAGAAGCTTAACTGAATAATACAGGTCTCCCTGAAGAATAGATACACATTTCCTCTTCTCAGAACCTTTCCCCTTTTTTACTGTAGAACATTTGTTCCCAAATCTAAGACCTCAGATATCACGCTTCCAAGAAGCCCTATGGGCTTCTGGGAGTTTTAGTCGAAGAACATATGTGGCCTGTAGTTTGGAAACCAGCATTCCAAGAATGCTCTGCACAAGTTCATTAAAATGCAGCTGTTGAAGTTTGATTAAGTTGTGGTGGTTTATAATCCTAACAAAAGACTTTTTGCAAACCTCTTCCATTTGGATCACCATAATATGTTTGGTATTTTTTTCTGGCTTCTGATGTTTACTCAAAAAAACAATGTTTCCTAAGATTATCTCTTTCTTAAAACACTTAATTCCCAAGTCTGTCTGGTCTCTTACACGTTAGATTGGTCTTCCTTTTTCAGTTTACAGTGGTGCCCTGCATAGCGACGATAATCCGTGCAGCCAAAATCGTCGCTATACAGATTCGTCGCTATGCGAAATAAAAAAGCCCATAGGAATGCATTAAAACCTGTTTAATGCTTTCCTATGGGCAAAAAAACCTACCTTTATGCGAAAATCCTCCATAGAAACCAGGATATGCCTCCTTTCATTGTGGGCTGACTGCAGGAAACCAACTTTACAGTGTTGGTTCTGTGAATTTCTGGGTTCTGATGTTTACTCAAAAAAAACAATGTTTCCTAAGATTATCTTTCTTAAAACACTTAATTCTCAAGTCTGTCTGGTCTCTTACACGATTGGTATTCTTTTTCAGTTTACAGTGGTGCCCCGCATAGCGACGATAATCCGTGCAGCCAGAATGGTCGCTATACGGATTCGTCGCTATGCGAAATAAAAAAGCCCATATGAATGCATTAAAACCTGTTTAATGCATTCCTATGGGCAAAAAAACCTACCTTTATGCGAAAATCCTCCATACGGCCGCCATTTTCACTGCCCAGTAAGTGAGGAATGGGAGCGAAAACACAGAGGGTGGCCATTTTTTAAAACCTGGCGGCCATTTTGGAACCACCGATCAGCTGTTGGGAAAACATTGTTATGCGAAAATCGGTAAGCAAAACAGCTTACCGATCATCACAAAGCGATACTTTCCCACTAGAAACATTGTTGTGCGATCGCAAAAACGATCACAAAAAAATCGTCGCTATGCGGATTTCTCGTTAAACGAGGCGCCCGTTAAGTGAGGCACCACTGTACTTTATCCTTTGGAGATGAAGGTACTGTATATCTTCTCTTTGCATTCATTCCCATGACTGATGATAGAAACCAGGATATGCCTCCTTTCATTGTGGGCTGACTGCAGGAAACCAACTTTACAGTGTTGGTTCTGTGAATCTTATTGTCAACTGACTAATTGGAGTACTAGCTCTTCCCTGTCTGATTCCAAGGAAACGTTGATGTGCTAGTTACAGGAGCGTATGTGGTAACTTCCTAAGCTTCTCCTGTAGGCTGTCAAACCACCCCACCCTACTTTCTGGTGGAGAATTCTGGTCGTGGAAAAATCACTTGGCAGTTGAGTGCTTTTAGATTATTTTCTATCTTGAGAAGCAAAAACAAAGAGAAAGAAGTGTCATATAGTATAGGAGTTGAACCATTCATTGTT